CTTTCTGAAGAAGGGTCTAGGCCCGAAATGTCAGCCTTCCTGCTCCTCTGATGCTGCTTGGCCTGCTGTGTTCATCCAGCTCTACACCTTGTTATCTCTTAACCTAATTTGTCAGTTCACTTTAGTCAACTCTGCTTTCATGTCCTCATGATCCCCCTTATTTAAGTTTGAAAGAAGTCTCAGCCCCATTCCTGTCTCCCTCAAGCTTTGCCTCAGGGAGCCTTCACAATGAGATCATTAGTTACTCCTATCTCATTACGTGATACCAAGTGTAGTATAGCTTGCCCTGTTGTTGGCTCCAGGACATGCTGTTTTCAGAAACTCTCCCAAAAGCATTCTATGAACTCCTCATCTAAGTTACCTTTGTCCATCAGACTTTTCCAGGTCTTATTTAGATTAAAAGCTCCCATAATTTCTGATGTACATTTCTGACAAGCTCTCGTTATTGCTTCTTTTATGCTCCATACTAATATATGGCTCCTGTTTGGGGACTTTATACACCACTCTCTCAAATGACCTCTTTTATTGTATATGCCTCAACTGTTTCCACATCCTGGTTTTCTAAACTTAGGTCATCCCTTTCTATTGTGCTAGCACTATCATTAACTAACAGACCCACTGCTGTACCTTTTCCTAAAAACTAGGTTGAATTGAGAATTGGCTAACAGATAGAAAACAGAATAAGATTAAAAGGGTGATTCTCAATTTGCAGATTGTGACAAATGGGATGCTGCACAGATCAGAGCACAGTCCCCGCTATTCATAATCTATATCAAAGATTTGGATGTGTTCGTCAAATATAATATTTTCAAGTTTGCTAATAATGTAAAACTAAGTGTAAATATGAGTTGTGCTGAGGGTGCAAATAGGCTTCAAGGGGATTTAAGCAAGCTAAGTGAATAGACAAGAACAGGGCAGATAGAATATAATGTGAAATAAAATGAAGTTAAGAAAACAGAAATGTAGAGTCTTTCTTAGATGGTGGGAGGTTGCAAAATGTTGATGAGCAAAGGGACATGGAAGACCTCATTCATAAGTCACTGAAAACGAATCTGATCTGTAGGTGCAGCAAGCAATCCAGAGCACAAATCATACGTGGACCTTTATCAAAGGAGATCTGAGTACAGGAGTAAACTTGTTTCATTGCTATTATATAGGGCCTTGTTGAGACCTCAACTGGAATATTGTATACAGTTTTGATATCTTAACTAAGAAAGACTATACTTGTCATAGACAGACTACAATGAAGGTGCACCAGACTGGTTTCTGGTATGGCAGGATTGTCTTATGAGATGCAAACGAAGAAACTGAGCCTATTTTCTGTCGGCTTTAGGGGATTGAGAATTGATCTAATTGAAGCATGCAAGGAAACAAGGGAGATAAGTCTCAAAATAAGAGACCATTTGAGACCTCGATGTGAAGGAATTTCTTCATTGAGAAGCTTGCGAATCTTTTGAATTCTGTATCCCAGAAGGCAGTGACAGTGCAGCCATTGATTATATTCAAGACAGAGATCAGTAGATTTCTGGAGAATGAAGATGTCAGGGATATGAGGGTATTGCAGGAAATAGCAGTTCTGGTAAAAGATCATTCGGTGTCTAGTTGAATGGGTGAGTGGACTCAATAGGGTAAATGGCCTACTCCTGTTGCTATATGCAGTGCTCCTATTGGTGAAGAAGTATGAGCTTCATCTTACTAACTGACCTAGATATTGCAATATACATCAATGATCAGCCTGTGCCAACATTTCCTGGCTTAAAAATAATTAACCACGACCTTTCAGCTGTGACCATGTGACCTTAATAAATAGGAACAGGAATAGGCTATTTGGCTTCTCGAGCCTGTTACACCACTCAAAGATCCTAGCTGATCCAACATTGCCCACATCTGCATTCTTCCCTTCCCATAACCCATGATTTCCCTACTGATCACAAATCAATCTGTCTCAGCTTTAAATATACATGAGGACTGTCCCCCATAGCTGTTTGTGGCAAGGAGTTCCAAAGACACTCAATCGTCTGTGATGAAATTCCTCCTTATCTCAATCTTAAATTAGCACCCCTTTGTTCTGAGAGTATGCCCTCTGGTTCTATATTCCCTCATGAGAGGAAACATGTGCCTAGCATTTACCATGTCAAGCCCCTTAAGAATCCTGTGTGTTCCAATGAGATTACCTCTCGTTTTTCTAAACTCCAATGAAGAGTGCCAATATGTTTAGCCTTTGCTCATTAGACAATCCCTGCATACTAGGGAGTATCCTGGTAAAACTTCTCTATGTAGCCTCCAGTGAACTACTATCTAAAATAAAGGGACCAAAACTGATCACAGTATTCCAGATGTGGTCTCACCAGCACTTGTGCAGTTGCAGTGAGACTTCCCTATTCTTATACTCCAACCCCCTTGAGATATGGACCAACATGCCATTAGCCTTCCTGATTACCTGCTGCAGCTGGGTGCTAGTTTTTTGTGTTTCATGCACAGGTACCCCCAAGTCAGTGTATTGCAGCTTCCTGCAGTTTGTCTCCATCTAAATAATATTCTATTCTTTTGTTCTCCCTTCCAAAATGAGTAATCTCACGTTTCCCATGTTATACTCCGTTTGCCAATTTTTTCGCCCAGTTACTTAACATGTTGATATTTCTCTAAACTGTTTGTATCCGTCTCACAACCTGCCTTTCCACCTATTTTTCTGCTTTCTGCAAATTTGGTTACTCTACATTTGCTTTCTTCTTGCAAATCATTAATATATACTGTAAGCAGTTATTGTCCCAGTGCTGATCCCTGTGGAATCCCATTGGTTACAGATTGCCAACCTGAAAAAGTACCCCTTATACCCACTTGCTGTTTCGTGCCCATTAGCCAATTCTCTCTCCATGCCAATGCACTGCCTCCAAGATCATGAGCTCTTATCTTATGACTTTACCTTTTGTGAAGAACATTGTCAACTGCTTTCTGGAAGTCCAAATGTGACACAACTACTGTTCCCCTGTATTCACTCTGGTTAAGTTTGCCGCAAAAATCTCTAATAAATTGGTCAGACACAGTTTCCCTTTCATGAAGCCATGCTGATTCTGCTTGATTAGATTATAATTTTCCAAGTGTGCTGCTACCTATTTTGCTCAGAGATGTGAGACTTGAACCTGGGTGTGTCTATCCAAGGGTAGGGACACTACCAATGTGTTGTTATTACTTTGTAAATTATTGATTCCAATACTTTTTAACAATAGACATTAAGCTAATGGGCCTCTAGTTATCCACGTTTTGCCTCCCTTTTGAATAATGGAGTCATATTGGCAGTTTTCCAATCCTCTGGTATTTCACCAGAATGCAAGGATTTTGGAAAATTGCAACCAATGCATCCGTTATCTCTGTAGCTACCTCTTTTAGGATCTTAGGATGCAAGTCATCAGAACCAGGGTACTTATCTGCCTTTAGCCCTATTATTTTGTCTGATGCTACTTCTCCTGTGACAGTGATTGCACTTAATTGCTCCCCCATGTCCTTTGACATCAATGAAATGTTTTGAAGTAATTTCCAACTTAGACTGATGTGAAACATCTGTTTAACTCCTCTGCCATTCCCTTGTTTTGCAAAACTATCTCCCAGATTCTAAGAGGCCTTTGTTCATTTTGACCTGTCTCTTCCTTTTTATATATTTGAAGAAGCTCGTCAGTTTTTATTTTCCTTGCAGTAGTTTTTCTTTCAAGTTAATACTCTCCCTAACTTCTTTGGTTAGCCATGGTTCACTTATCCCTTTCTTAGTATCTTTTCTCCTTACTGGGATATACTTTTGCTGAGAGTCAAGAATTACCTCCTTAAATGTCTGGTACTGCTTGCTTACTGTGTTTCCTGCTAATCTATCTGCCCAGTCCACTTTAACGATCCTCATTTTAGTGTAATTCCCTTCATTTAAGTTAAACACAATTGCTGGCAATCCAAATTTCTCACACTCAAACTAAATATTAAATGCATCATGTTATGATCACTACTTCCTCGAGGATGTTTTACCCTGAACTTATTTATTCAACCTGCTTCATTACTCATTACTAGATCCCAGAAAGTCTGTTATTTAGTTGACACTCTGTGACATTGGTGCCATCCTGTCTTGGCAGCTGTGAAGTAACATTTTTCTTGCAAGGTTTTCAATGTGCCAAATTTACCTGTGAAGATACAGATAACTGTAAATTTGCATCAGTAAAATCAGGAATTAAATTAGTAAGCACATTAACTCCAAGGTATGTTGACTATTATACTAAAATATTTTGATTTCCTACCCAGAATTTCCCCTCGCGTTATCCAGTGTTATGTGAATACGTTGTACTATTACGTTTTTAATGACCTGTTCTATTTGTCTTGATTAGATCAAACGACATTAGACGATATTGAAAAGTCTGTCAATGATGAGATGAAGCGAATTATTCCTTGGATTCAACAGCTAAAGTAAGTATGAAGTGTGTTGAAGTAATTAGAAGGGAGTTAATAAGAACCAACTTTAAATGTGAAAACTACTCTTTCACCTTTGTCCTGTCAAATCTGGGCAATATGTGTTCAAATTTATCCTTCATTTTAAGATAAAATGTCCCTGCAGGTTTTGGCTTGGACAACAAAGATGCAGGCAGTCCATGAAGCACCTTCCCACAGTCTGCACTGAGACGTTACATCTTTCAAACTTTTCGTCTCATCCAGTTGGAAACCTCTCAAAACACAAGCTATTCATCAAACTGACGCGCCTTCCTCAATACTACATTGTAAGTGCTTTTCGTTGATAAGGCATTCTTTGGTTACAGCTACGTACTGTTTAAGAAATTATTTATGGACTTGAAATATTTAGCTTCAAGAGAATTGTTTGTAGTCATCTGTTATGTTATTTATTTATGTAGGTTACTTTTAGTGCAAAATGGTTAGTTCTTTACTGTGTTACATTTCAACGTTTCCTACTTCAGATAGCGTCACAGCTGTTAACTTGGCTTCTATCTCCACAATTGCATGCCAGTCCTGTTGAGTGATTGAGAGTCATAGAGCTGTGCAGCATGGAAACAGACCATTCAGTCCATGTGATAAGCTATCCTAAATAAATCTAATCCTACTTGCCAGCATTTGGTCCATATCCCTCTAAACCCTTCCTGTTCATATACCCATCCAGATGCCTTTTAAATGTTGTAATTGTATCAGCCTCCTCCTCCTCTGGCAGCCCAATCCATACATGCACCATCCTCTGCATGAAAATGTTGTCCCTTAGGTCCCTTTAAAATCTTTCCCCTCTCACCTTAAACCTATGCCCTCTAGTTTTGGACTCCCCTACCCTGGGAAAAAAAATTTGGGCTATCCACCCTACCTATTCCTATCATGATTTTGTAAACTTCTGTAAGGTCACCCCTCAGCCTCCAAAACAGTAGGGAAAATAGCGCCAGCCTGTTCAGCCTCTCCCTACAGCTTAAATCCTCCAACCCTGGCAACATCCTTGTAAACCTTTTCTGAACACTTTCAAGTTTCACAACATCCTACAGCAGGGAAACCAGAATTGCATGCAGCATTCAAAAGTGGCCTAACCAATGTCCTGTACAGCTGCAACATGACCTCCTAACTCCTACACTCAATGCACTGACCAATAAAGGCAAGCATACCAAATGCCTCCTTCACTATCCTGTCTACCTGCGACTCTACTATCAAGGAACTATGAACCTGCAGTCCATGCTGTCTTTGTTCAGCAACACTCCCGAGGACCTTACCGTTAAGTGCTTTCCAAAACGCAGAACCTCACATTTATCTAAATTAAACTCCATCTGCCACCCCTCGGCCCACCGGCCCATCTGATTAGGGTCCCATTGTACTCTGAGGTAACCTCCTTTGTTGTCCACTACGTCTCCAATTTCGGTCTCATCTGTAAACTTACCAACCATACCTCTTGTGTTCACATCCACATCATTTATATGAATGACAAAAGGCAGGTCCATTTGTTTATATTTCTGTTTCCTCCACTCCCTATTTCCAAATCATCCCAGCTGCACAGTAATCCCAGACAAAAGAAAGCATAATTCCAATCCTCTACTATTGCCCCTTGTACACTTCCAAGTAGGCAATTACAAGAAGAGTTGATGTCTTCTTTTCTCTCCTGCAAGTTTGTTTCCCTGTTTTGAGTGCTTGCTTCAGTAAACAGTTTTCTTGAATAAATTACATGTAATGTTGCTAAAAGTAATGTAATTTTCTTTTGCAGTCCTCATTGTAAACATTTACATTTTTCATTTTGTTCTTTCAGGTTGTAGAAATGTTAGACAGGCCAGGCTTTCCTACAGAGCTACAGTATAAATATCATTTCCTCTCTGTAAGCCATGGGCTGACAGATCCAGATGATTGTCCTCCCACTGCAATTCTTTTGCAACAGTTTAAACCAGACATTGAGAAACTAGTACTGGATGCAAGACCTGGGCAGCAGGCCAAAGCTGGAGGCAAGCACAAGGTTTGGATCTTACATTAACATAAACGTCATGACATTTGATGGCAAAAAATTAGAAAAGTATTATTAGATACAGGGAATACTCTTAATACTTCAAACAATTTACTGCATGCATTGATTTCAGTAAATGATTAAATGAAACCAGTTGCTTGCTGATTTATTTTAATTTAATTTTTGTGCCTGTGAATAAAAATTTATACATTTGGTGAATAGAAAGTCATCCACTTGTATTTAAAATATAAGTTTTGGATTGATGTAAGATTCTGTGATACAAGATGCAAATGCAGTGCAGTCATTGTGGAATACAAACAAAATATTTTAGCCGAGTGGGTTTCTGATTTCACCTCTGGAATACTGAGAGCAAAACTTTAAAGTGTGAGGACTGTATAATAAGGCTGTTAATGTCTATAGTTTTTGGAGCAAAGTTAATAGCAATTCTTGCTTGAGTGGAGTGATGTAAAGAAAGAAAGAGATTCATAATGGGGCCTCAGGATATTCTGAAAGCAGGTTTTATTATTTAAATGCAATTGTTATTAGTCTTTTGGTAAATATAGCAACCACTTTGTGTAAAGCAAGCTTAAATATACAGCAAAAGAATTACTCACTGCTTAACATCTTCGATAATTTTGAGTAAGAACTTTGGGCAGAACAGCAGAACTCCATGCTGTGCTTTGGAAAATGCCATGGGGGATCACTGTCCATTTGAACAGGTTTGAAGTATGATTCAAACATTCGTGCCTCTAATAATACAGCATTCCCTCAATAAAGCATTGAAGTGTTAATGTAATTTAAATCCTATAATTTGGGAATTGTTTACTGAACCCTGAAAAGTCTGATGTGAGAGTCCTACAGAACGGACTTATGAAGAAAGTTATTGGTTATGGCATAAAAGGGACAGTAGCAATGTGAACACAGACTGACCATTGCCCTGTTTTCTATGGATATTTTCAAGCTAGAGGAACGCTTTTAGTGGAGTTCCCAGGGGTTGGTATTTGGGACCCTTGCTTTTCCTGGTGTATATTAATGATCTAGGTTTTTGTGTTTTTGGTGATTTTGATTAGGGACAATTTCAAAGTTTGCAGGTAACGTGAAACTTGGAAGAATTGTGAACTGAGGAGGACAGTGTGGAACTCCAAAAAAAATTGACAAGTTGGTGGAATGGCAAGATAGGTGTCAGGTGAGGGTCAATGCAGAGAAGTGTGAGGTATTTTACTTTTATCTTTCAATGTCCTTCCTCCCAATGCAAAATAGGGGTTACAATTCTGAAGAGGGTGCAGGAGCAGACAGTGTATATGTGCACAGATCATTGAAGTTGATAGGACAAGTGGAGAAAGCAGTGAAGAAAAGATACAATGTCTTTGGCTTTATTGATGGGGCATAGAATACAAGAGCAAGAATGATGTTGAACTTGTATAAGACACTTGTTAGTCCTCAGCTGGAGTATTGTGTACAGTGATGGCCGCTGCATTATAGGAAAGTTGACCGTATTGGAGAAGGTGCAGAAGTGATTTACAATGGAATGAGAAACTTAATTCTGAGGATAGATTGAAGAAGCTCTGATTGTTCTCTTGTGGAGAAGAAGGTTGAGAGGAGATTTGACAGACGCTTTCAAAATCATTGGCAAGCTTGATAGATATGTAGAAGCTGTTTCCAATTGTGAAAAGAACACGAATGAAAAGGCATCTATTTAAAGTGATGGGCAAAAGAAACAAGGGTGTGATAAGAAAAACTTTTTCAATTAGTGAGTAGTTGGGTTGTGGAATGCAGTGTCTGGAAGTGTGGTGGAGGCAGGTTCAATTGAGGCACTCAAGCATGAGTTGATTATTTGGATAGAAATAGCATGCAAGGCTACGAAGAAAAAGCAGGAGATTAGCACAAGGTGTAATGTGGTTTTGAAGAGCTAGTTCATGCATGATGGGCTGAATGGCTGCTGCCTGCATAATAACAATCCTGTGATTCTGTGAATTGAACAAAGCTAATGGGACATCATAAGTGGGAAAATCCCAAGCTAGAAAGTGGGGATCAAGCAGAAAAACGGAAGACCAATTCTGTGTCCCAACTGATGGTAATAATGGACAATTAGGATCCCAGTGTGAAACCTGGCTTGTTAAATCTCGTGTTATTTGGCACTTTGACTACCATAATGGTTAGTCACTGAACAAATTCATAGATTAGATTGCTAATGTCCTCTAAACAAGAGAAATGTACTACACAACTGTTGCTTCGAAAGAAAAATATTGATTTTAATCCTTTATCCCAACAAAGTCCTTTATAGACACTCCACTGCACAGAATTATCCCCCCATACTATTTAATTTCTTATCCACTTGACAAAGTCATAAACTTCTAAAGTTTTGACAAGTTTTTAAACATTTTTAGTGAATTTTGGCATATTCATGGATATGATTCTGTCTGAGTTATACAGACTAACTCTTGACTTTTTTTCCATTGAACTCTAAGAAAAGAGTCAGGGCCTTTTCTAACAACTTTGACTTTTAAGCTTTTAAAGGGTATGCTGGTATGGGTATTTTCTTAAGAATTTAACCTCTTCAAGCCTCTAGTCTCTCCATAAGTCTTTCTCTTTATCTTAAATCTTAATTATCTCACTGGGTAGCTTGTTTAGTCACTTAGCTTAAGTCACATGATTTCTTGGAAATGCCATTTTGGCCCAATGCTAAAGAAGAGTTTCTGACCACAATATGTTTAGAATTTACCTTCAAGATGTAAAAATCTTAATTTTCCAGAAATCATAGGCACTTAGAGAAGTGCCAGATGATTGAAAAACTGCCAATGTGACACCCCTATTCAAAAGGGTGGTAAAAAGTGGATAGCTATAAACTGATTAGCCAAACATCTATTGTTGGAAAAATAGTGGAATTAATTATTAAGGAAGTAACAGCAAAACATCTGGAAAATCGTAATCTAAACAAGCAGAGTCAGCATTGCTTCATGAAAGGGGAATTGTGTCTGGCTAATTTATTAGACTTTCTCAAACAAGTTTGAGTGGATAGAGAGGAACTAGTTGATGTAGAATCATAGAATCCCTAAAGTGCAGATAGAGGCAATTCAGCCCTTTGTGTCTGCACCAACCCTCTGAAGATCATGCCACCTAGACCCACGCCCCCACCCCATCCGCTTAACCCCATATTTAACATGGCTCATGCGTCTAGCCTGCACATCCCTGGCACTATGGGGCAATTTAGCATGGCCAATTCACCTAACTGGCATGTCTTTGGACTTTGGGAGGAAACGGGAGCACTTGGTAGAAATCAGAGAAGACATGCGGAGAACATGCAAACTCCATGCAAACAAGGTTGGAATTAAACCCGGGTTCCTGGTGCTGTGAGCCAAAAGTGCTAACCACTGTGCCATCATGCCAATTATTTGGACTTCCAGAAGGTGTTCAACAAAGTTTCTCACTAAAGGTTAAGTCATAATATAAGAGCCCACAGTGTTGGATGTAGTATATTGGGACGTATAGAGAATAAGTTGATGGGCAGGGAATAGTGAGTGGAGATATGGGGCACTTTTTTCAGGTTGGTGATCCATGACCAATGGGTTCTAGAGGGATAGGTGCTAGGACAAGAACAGTTTCCAATATAGATGAATGGATTGGAGGAACAATGTACTGTAGCCAAATTTGCGGACGAGGGGTATACAGTTGACAAATTGATATTGATAGGCTTAGTAAGTAGACAAAATGTTGGCAAATCGAATATAATGTGGGAAAATATGAAGTTGTTAATTTTGGAAGGGAAAACAAAAGAACAAAACATTATTTAAGTGGGGATAAACTGCAGAAAGCTGCAACACAAAGGGATTCAGTGTATGAAACACAAAGCTAGCAGTCAAGTGCAACAAGTGATCAGGAAGGCGAATGGAATGTTGGCCATTATTTCAAGCAGGTTGTAGAGTAAGAGCAGAGAAGTCAGAGTCATACAGCATTGAAACAGGCCCTTCAGCCCACCATGTCTATGTCCACTAACAAACACCAAAATACACTAGTCCCGTTTACCTGCAATTGATCCATTAGCTTCCATAGCCTACAATGCTCTGGCATTTTAAGTACTCATCCAGATGCTTCTAAATGTTGAGAGTACTTGCCTCCATCGCTCCCTCCAGCAGCGTGTTTCATTTATTTACCACCCTCTACGTGGAAAAAACTTTTCCTCATCTTATAAACCTCTCACTCCTTGCCTTAAACTTGTGCTGTCTAATCTTAGACACATCTACCATGGGGAAGAGATTCTCATGATCTACTGTTTACAGTCAGAGCCCCTTCAGCCTCCTCTACTTCAAGGAAAACAAACCCAATCTATCCAGTCTCTCTCCTCATAAATGAGACATTAGTTTTGATCTTCTAATTTTCAAGAACATTTCCTAACAATTGGAAGGTAGCTCAGCACCATTATTTAGGGAGAGACAAAGAGAAGAGTGCAAACTACAGGGCATTTAGTCTGCAATATTGATGGCTGCACCGGTGCTGCCTCGTGCTGCTGTGAGGAGCTTGAGCAGTTCATCAACTTCACCAACACCTTCCACCCCACCCTCAAATTCACCTGGACCATTTCTGACACCTCTGTCCCCTTCTTGGACCTCTTTGCCTCCATCTCCGGAAACCGGCTCACTATTGGCATCCATTTCAAACCCACTGACTCCCACAGCTACTTTGACTTCAACTCTTCTCACACCCATCCTGTAAAAATGCTATCCCATACTTTCAATTCCTCTGCCTCTGCCACATCTCCTCCTAGGATGAGGCGTTTTACTCCAGGACATCCCAGATATCCTCCTAATTTAGGGATCAGAAATTCCCCTGTATGTAGCTAAGGATTGCTCAACTGCAACTCCCTCCTCCCAACAGCAATAAGGATAGAGTCCCCTCAGTTCTCACGTACCACCCCACCAACCTTTGAATCCAACGCATTATTCTCCAACATTTCCGCCACCTACAATCAGACCCCACCTCCAAAAGGATATTTCCCTCCCCACGCTTGTCCACTTTCTGCAGGGACTATTCATTCCGTGACTCCCTCGTCAGCTCCACATTCCCCACCAACTTCACCACAACACCCAATACCTTTCCCTGCAACCGCAAGAGGTGCAACACCTGCCCCTACACCTCCCCTCTCGCCTCCGTCTAAGGCCTCAAACAATCCTTCCAGGTGCGGCAGAGATTCATCTGCACCTCATCCAACCTGATCTATTGTGTCCGTTGCTCCCGATGTGGTCTCCTCTATACCAGGGAGACCAAATGGAGATTCAGGGACTGGTTCGCAGAGTACCTGTGCTCTGCACACACCAACCAACTCAACCTTCCAGTTGTCAACAATTTAATTCCTCCTCCCACTTCCCTGGCAACATATTTATCCTCAGCCTCCTCTACTGTCAGAGTGAGGCCAAACGTAAACTGGAGGAATAATACCTGATATTTGGCCTTGGGAGCTTACAGCCCAATGGCCTTCAAATTGACTTCGCCAGCTTCAAAATCCCTCCACCTCCAGCCATAACCCATGTCCAGCACCACCCCCCCCCAACTCCTCCTCACCTCCCTGACCTGACCTAACCTGTCCATCTTCCTACTCGCGTATTGGCTTCATCCTTCCCACAGACCAATCACAATAACCTCCTACCTGCATCCACCTATCACTGTTCCACCTACCCTTCCCCCAGCCCCACCCCCTCCCTCTATTTATTTCTGGGTTCCCCTCCCCTTCCCAACTCTGACAAAGGGTTTTGGCTCGAAATGTTGACATTCCTGCTCCTCGGATGCTGTCAGACCTGCTGTGCTTTTCCAGCGTCACATCTATTGACTCTGGCATCTGCGGTCCTTACTGTCTCCAAGTGCTAGAATTGTTTATTAGAAATGTGGTAACAGGGCATTTTTGTCATAATTTCTCTTTGCTTAATCATATTATGTATGACAAATCTTTAGAAGTTACATTCTCCAAAATCTAGGATGTGTAAGGGAGAATCAGTGGGTGGGTGTAGCACATTTGGTCAAGTTGTGCACAACAGATTATGGGACATAATTAGGATTCATGGGATTCGGGTCCATACATTAGCATGAATTTCTTATTTAATGGACAGAAAACAGAGTTAGAATGAACTTTTGAGTTGGCAGGCTGTAACCAATGAGGTACTGCAAGATATAAGCTATTTACTACCTACATTGCATTCAGCCTCTCATTAAAAGCATTAATGTATTTAGTTTGTTGAAATTTAGGTGAGATAGTATGTGTTTAGATAGACCCAAAGAGGCTGCAGTGGAGTATAGATTGGTGATATGAGTGCGTGAAGAAAAGAGCAGCCATATATATGGTGGGTGGTGTTCCCACGTGTGATGGTAGTATCTATGTCAATGATCTGGCATGTCTTGCAGAGGTTGCCGTGGCCGGCTTGTGTGGTGTTGTAGTTGATGTTGTCCTGAAGGCTGGGTAGTTTGGTGCAAACGATGGTCTGTTTAAGGTTGACGGTTGTTTGAAGGCGAGAAGTGGGGGCATAGGGATGATCTTGGCGAGATGTTCGTCGTCATCGATTACATGTTAGGGAAGTGTTGAACCGAGTGCAAATAATCCCACTGTACTGGGCATGAGATGAAAATCATTGGAGGATGACGTTGGCTACATCAAACACGAGAGAGGATGAGGGATATTGCAGCATCCTTCATCGTTGAGGATGGATGTTCATTTTGACCTTGGTTAAGGCTACTTGGCTGCTGTACTAGAAATGATAATATGATTGGAGAGATTGATAAAATGATTGGAGTTCTAAGGTGATAACATTTTGTAAATTTTTGAGAGGAAGAAAATGTTGGAGTTAAGTAGTTTGCAAAGTCAAAGAGGTCAAGATTATGTAATAACAGGAATAGGTTATGTTCTTGAAAAGAGAACTACTTTAGTTTTTCGCCTCTTTCTCCCAATTTATAATCATAACACTTGTCACTTATGACATTTAATCATTTCACTGTCCTCCATTTTTCAGTTTTCCTCCCAACAACTTTGCTGTTCTTTGCAACTTATGTGTAAATCACAAGTTTCCTTTAATTCGGCTGCTTGTTCAGAAGTCTCGCAGACAATGAAGTACTAAAACAATGATTTAAACTTTATTGCATGTAGCAACCAAAATAAGACACCTCAGGTAAGCAAGTTACAAGATTCCAACTAACTGTGATCTGTCTCTGGATGTGAGCAGGGTTCAATCCTTGTGCAGTGTCCTCCTTCAAAATTTTGCTGTTGAATTGTTCTAGTGTTGGATTCTTAGACAATTTTCCTCTTTCAAGTTTGTGGTGTGACATTATGTTGATATTTTAGATTCTTACATTCACAACATTGGTTATTCTTCTGGAGACTTCAAGTCTCTAGCTTGCTTTCTTATCAGAAGTAGCTCCCCTGTTCCTTGTTACATTTGAAGTTTGAAGCAGCCTGCCCTGCATGTAACCCCTTTACTTCAGGACATTCCTTCTGCAGGGAATCTTAATTGCCCATTTGTCACAAGACAGCAGGTTATCAAAGAATGTTACCTTCTTTCTTCCAGAAAACAGTTTGTTTATGCTGCTTTGACTCCTTTCCAAGGATGGTTAGTGAGCATGTTGTTTTTAATTCCTTTATAATAATTTCTCCCTGCCCCTTTCATCTCGATAAACAATTTATTTCAGAAAGAGTTACTGCTGATTCTTTCAATCCATTAAGTTATTGAAGTTCTAAAGTTTGTCACAACCTGTTCCACCTAACATCACAGATATGTCTGTGAAAAAGATGGTGCAGGCAAATAAGCTCATGAAAAAATACTTGATTTTTTATATCTAGATACAGCAAATGTATAACTAAAATGGTAATGTTTAACTTTTACATGTTGTAGGTGAAAAATTTAGTAGTTTTGGATACGATTATAAAAAGATATAAAAGCAGTGGAGAAGGCTACAGCATATATTTGCTAGGAAGTTACTAAGTGAGAGGTTTGAAGGCACTACAACAGCAATGAGGACTCTTGAAGTTGGGATTTTTTTCAATAGATGTCAGAAGGTTAAGGAGTGACTGATTAGTTTTTTGCAAATCAATAGGAGTTGTAGTCATAAACTAAATAATGGCAAATTTGTTTTTGCTGGTTTTAACATGACAGAGGGAAATCAAATTTTGATTATCATAAAAGATTATTTTAAATCAAAGGTATACAAATAGCCTAGTTGAAATGACCTTTTTTTAAAAGGACATTAGATATTTACTATTACTCCATAATAAATGGAGATTGGCGGGAACTTTTCTGTCTTAGCAGGAAAACGTGCACAAAGTGATGTGGTTCAATGCTGTTGTATACTATGAAAATGAAATTCAGCACGGATCCAGTTTACACAAGTGAATGAATTCAGAATTTTTCTGATGATCACAGTCACCTGCAAAATGCTCAGTAGTTTTCTTGCATTGCAACATGAAGCACAGTATATCAGAATGCTACACTTCACTGTTGATTCCGTCCCACATGCTCAAGAACAGTGATGTTGCAAACCGGTGCTTTGCAAAATTTGTCTGATACAGAGGTTGATCTGTTAAACTTTTCTTTCAAACCCTTTGGTAATTGGCACATGTGTTTAAATTATAGTTGTCTGCTGATCAAGGACCTACAGAACCCAAGAAACCCAAGAGGACAGGAGAAATGTGTGCCTTTAATAAGGTCCTAGCACACTTGGTAGCTATGTGTGACTCAAACATGCCATTTATTGGACTTCGTTGTGAGGTAAGAAGCTTTGAAATTTTTTTTAATGTCAAAATTTCACTCAAATAACACATCACTTTTGATCATTTGGTTTTCAATGAAAACTCTGTTTCTCGGGGGATGGCCTACTGGTATTATCGCTAGACTGTTAATCCAGAGACCCAGGTAATGTTCTGGGGACCTGGGTTCAAATCCTGCCGTGGTCGATAGTGGAATTTGAATTTTAAAAAAGAAGAGTGACGACCATGAATTCATTGTTGATCGTCAGAAAAATCCATCAGGTTCACTAATGTCCTTTTAGGGAAGGAAACTGCTATCCTTACCTGGTCTGGCCTCCAGGTGACTCTGGAACCACAACAATATGGCTCACCTTTTAACTGTTAGGGATCGGACAAGAAATGGTGGCCTAGTCAGCGATGCCCTCATCTCATGAATAAATAAAAAGAAAGGTGAGTCAGATCTTGTACCAGAGAAGAGACAGTGGCATAATAGTAATGTCTTTGGAAAGAATCATAGAATCCCTGCAGTGTGGAACCAGGCCATTCAGCCTACCGAATCCACACCAACCCTCTGAAGAGCATCCTACCCTATCCCTGTAACCCTGCATTTCCCATGGCTAATCCATCTAACTTGCACATCCCTGGACACTATGGAACAATTTAGCATGGCCAATCCACCTAATCTTGGACTGTGGACTGTGGGAGGAAACTAGAACACCCAGAGGAAACCTGCGCAGACACAGGGAGAATGTGCAAACTCGACACTGACAGTTGCCTGAAGGAGAAATCAACCCCGGGTCCCTGGTGCTGTGAAGCAGCAGTGCTAACCTCTGAGCTACTGTGCCACACTCCTAATCCAAAGGCCCTGGCTAATTTTGTGGCAAAAATAGATCCATCACAATAACTAGTAGAATTTTAATTCATCTAGTAAACATAGAATTCAAAACCTGTCTTGGTAATGGTGACCCTGAAAATACCATTGATGTAAAAGCCTAGGAAGGAAGTCTGCTATTCATACCAGATCTGAGATTTAGGAACAATTTACTCCAGGTTCTTCAAAAAGCATTGATGTAAATGTTAGCTGACACCAAAGCTCGACTAAGTGTTTTTGGCAACTGGATTGTGCATAAACAGGATTTTATGACTAACTGATTCCAAGAAGGCATTTTCCAGCACTTATTGCCTATCCCTAATTGTTCAGGAGAAGATGGTGATGAGCTGCCCTTTGAATCTCTTGCAGTCTTTGACTTATAATGACATTCACAGTGCTGTAAGGCAAGGGTTTTGATGGATTTTAATTTAGTGATAGGGAAAGAATGACAATGTACTTCCAAGTAATGATAATGTATGGCTTGGAGGGCAACCTGCAAGTGATGGTGTTCCCCCGCATCTGCTACCCTTATATTCGAGGTCGTAGAGGATATGACTTCACAAGGTGTTGCCCGAGGAGTCTTGATGCAAGGCATCTTTTCGATGGTGTACATAGCTACCATTATGTATCAGTAGTGAAGATTCAAGGTGATGAGGTGCCAATCCAGCAAACTACTTTGATAGTCGCCCAAGGCTGCAATTGAACTGAGGTTTCTGATACTTTGAGGCAGCAGTGCTAACCACTGAGGCACCACGTATCCCTGCTCTGTCTTTTGCCAGTACCTTTACCCTAACAGCATGGGCTTGTATCTTTGATTTGATTTATTGTTGTCACATGTACCAAGATACAGTAAGTGTTGTTTGCGTGCTTATGCAGGCAGATTGTACCACACAAAGTGCATGAAGGTAGCAGAACAGAGTACAGAATACAGTGTTACAACCGCGGAGAAGGTGCAGAGAGAGAGAGAGAGGTCAACATTAACATTTGAGACGTCTGTTCAAAAGTCTGTTACAGCAGGGAAGAAACTGTCCTTGAATCTGTTTGTACGTTTATTCAAACTTCTATATCTTCCAAACAGAAGAGGCTGAGAGTATAACCGGGGTGGGAGGGGTCTATGATTACCTTGGTTGCTTATCCAAGACAGCAGGAAACATAGAGGGAGTCAGTGGAGCCAAGGCTTGTTTACGTGATGGAAAGGACTATGTTCACAACTCTCTGGTTTCTTGCGGTCTTGGGCAGAGCAGTTGCCGTACTACACTGTGATGCGTTCAGATAGGATGCTTTCTTTGATCCATCTATGAAAATTGGTAAGTGTCTTTGTGGACATGCTGAATTTCCTTAACCTCCTGAGGAAATAGAGGTGTTGTGCTTTCTTGACCACCGCGTGACATGGGTGGACCAGGATAGATTGTTGGTGATCATCCCTTCCAGGAACTGGATCCTCTTGACCATCTCCACCTCAGCACCATTGATGGAGACAGGGGCGTGCCCTCCACTCTGCTTCCTGAAGTCAATGACCAGCTGCTGTGTTTTGCTGACATTGATGAAGATATTGTTGCCTTTACGTCATGCCACTAAGCACTCAATCTCTTTATCTTATTCTCTTTCTCTTAATATCCCATTTAACAGCCTCCTCTGTGGCAGCTTGTCCAAGGCCTTCTGGAAATCCAAATTGATCATGTCCAGTGGCTCACCTTTGTCTAACTTGCTCTTTACCTCCTCAGAGAATTCTAACAAATTTTCAGGCATGACCTCCCCTGACAAAACTGCGCTGACTCAGCCCTATTTTACCAAGGAAGTTATAAAGAAAGTTATAAAGAAAGGCTGGATAAGCTGGGACATTTTTCACTGGAGCATGGGAGGTTGAGAGGTGATCTTCTAGAGGTTTATAAAATCATGAGGTATAGATAGGGTTAATCATAGATATCTTTTCCTGAGGTTGTGGGGATTTCAAGACAGGCTTTTATTTGAGGTGAAAGGAGAGATTTTAAAAAAGACATAAGGGGCAACTTTTTCATACAGGGTGGTTCGTGTGTAGAATAAATTTCCTGAGAAAGTGATGGATGTGGGCACAATGCAATGTTTAAAAGAGACTTGGGTAAGTACATGAATAGGAAAGTTTGGAGGGATACGGACAGGGAGCAAGCAGGTGGGACTAGTTTAGTTCGGGATTATGTTCGGCATGGACTGGTTGGACTGAAGGATCTGTTTCCATGCTGTATGACTCAATGACTTCCAAGTATACCACTATATCATCCTTAATAATGGACATTAAAAATCACATTTATCCACTTTGTTTCCATATCTGTTCAGCCCTTTTGTTTCATCCACCAGTCAAATCTAATTGTGAATATTGACATCATTTCCTCTACAGCTAGGAACCCAAGAAATGACTTCTACATCTTTACAACTCTCATGCTTAATGTTCTGAAATGCTTTGAATTGTGTATTTTTTTCATTCCTCGTTCTTAATCTTTCATGACTGGGCAAGGTCTTGTTGTTTTATGACATATGGGCATCCTGGCAAGACAATATTTGTTACCCATCCTTACTTGAATGTAATACATGAACTGAGTGGCCTGCTAGATCATTTCAGCAGGGCAGTTTAAACTCAACCACGTTGCAATGGGTCACCTGTACGTCAGACCAAGTAAGGATGGCAGATTTCCTTCCGTAAAGGACGTTAATGAGTCAGGTAGATTTTTTTCATGACCACTTCGTGATTTCATGACTCTCCATTGTGAGATTATCTTTTAATCCAAAGTTACTGATTGAATTTAAATACCACCAGCTGCCATGTTGCAATTTGAATCCATAATCCTAGGATTCTGAATTGCTAGTTCAGTGACATTACCACAATGCAACTGCCACCTCCCAAAAGAACCTGAATCTACAATTTTCAATCTACAATCCTTTTTTCTGAAAAAAGTCATAGTACAATTATTAAAGGGGAAAAAAAGACCAAATGTTTCATGTACACCCTTGGCAATACGTCACTAATCCTGTGCTGTATACTCTGGAAAGTCTGAATGTTCTTCCCACAGTGTAGACCTTAAGACTGTGCACAGAGTTTAATTGAGATTTTACTGTGCCCAAGTACATTTCTATATCTAATGTTGAATAATGAAAAGTTCCTAAGTTCTGTTTATTTAGGACCTAGAAAAATGTTTTTCAATTTTTATTGCAGCTATTTCAAAAACCTTGTATTTTAAGTGACTGTGTTCTTTTAAAGCTTTCTGCTATGGAGATTCCTCACCAAGGAGTTCAAGTGGAAGGAGATGGCTGCAGTCATGCTATACGCATACTAAGGTAACTCTTGACCACTTGCCAATAAGTGATGAAATAAGGCTGCTTTACTATTTTATATTATTTTCATAATCATTTTCTTGATTATTGAACAGCACTGTGAGACTTTCTAATACTCTTCGCCACCTGGCAAAACCAATAACATGTTAAATACTGGTGAATTAAGTTGACTTCAATTTTTGAGAAATTTTTGTGTATAACGGTAAACTCTGAAAGTTGGGTTAATATTTCTTCACTCTCAATCACATATGGTGTAAACTTCAAGCAATGGAGTTAACTGTATTCTTACTTAAATGCAGCCAAATTTGAGTTTCAGCTTTCTGTATGCATGATAACTAATTTCTTATTTGCTTGACTCTGCACCAAGGTTTTAAGTTTTATATGCCAGCGCACGTTAAACTTTACTTCAGGGGATTTGTTCTCATGGCAAATTTATTAAGGTGCTAAGCCGAAGAGAGTTTTGTTTAAATATGCAGCAATGTGCCTATTCGTGGGCCATACCATTCTGTTCTCCTCGTCATTCAATCTTTCCTGCTACTTGTATATCTGTGGTAGAACAGATACCGTATTATTTTGTTGGGTGTATCGAAATTTCCACACACTTCTCAGAAACCAAGATATTTGGTTCTTGGATTTTCCTATCAGCGGCAATGCTGTGCATATTACCTGTGCTGTGAGGCAGCAGTGCTAACCACTGAGCTACCATGCCACTCTAATCATTTGTGCCTATTTGTTCCAAGAAGTGCTCTCCTACCACATTTAAACACATTGGGCCAGATTTCGATACCAACAGTGGCGACGCCTTGAATTTGTTGGTGCACATTGAGACATGAGGAAGTTCAGATTTCTACACATGCCGTTTTTGCCCAGGAAGCTTGTATTTTTTTAAGGGCTGATTTGCTGTGCCCTGAACCCTCTGCAAATGTCTTTTATATCGATTCTAGCATCGGTGTCTTAGATAGACAACCATCAATTACCTCGAGGTTTACCCTAGACCTGTTACACTGGTTGATCTCTGGTGTAATTTGGTGATTAACAGTTCAACCAATCCATTATCACCTCCCCTCCCACTAGCCCTCAAATCACACCCAGACCAGGTTACCCCATTGAAATACCGTAGACCTTAAGAAACTTAGCTGGATACATCAATTAAAGTTGCAAGAGTGGACGTATACTCTTCACTGCTCTTCTTTGCCAACCTACCAGAATCCTGCACCAAGACATCACTGTTCCAACCGGGACTGTTTTTTTAAGTAAACATGTAATACCCAGGTTTGATTCCACCTTTGGAGTTTGCGCATTCTCCCTGTGTCTGCATGGGTTTCCTCCCACAATCCAAAGATGTGCAGGCAAGTTGGGTTACCCATGGTAAATAAGGGATCATGTGGATAGGGTAGGATTTTCTCTGGAAGGTCAGTGCTGATTCATTGGGCTGAATGGCCTCTTTCTGCATAGGGATTCTACAATTAAAAAAGCAGGACAGTTTAATGAAGTTTTTTGTTGGAAAGAAGGGCAAACAACCAGGGTTCATTTCTGAAGTGATAAATTGAAAAGCAGAGAAATTATGTTGCACTCCTGGAACATCTTGACTGTGTTTGGGATGCTTCAAACAGTTCTGATCCCCATATTATCAATAGGATGTGGACATATTTGATCATTTACAAAAAAGATTGACTAGGATGATGCTCGTGTTTACAACTTTAAGGAGAAATTGAACAGATTGTGGACACCTTTAGTTAAGCAAAATGATCTGATGGGTTTTGAAGAATTTTCAGGTGTTTGTGTGGCTAGTTATAAAAGACTTTGGACTTGTCAAGAAGGCCAGAACTAGGACCATAAATATATAGAATGGTCAATAATAAAATCAGGAGGAAGATCTTTACCTGGAGTATTGTTAGAATGTGAATGTGGTTAAAGTGACCTGCATCGATACATTTAGGGGAAGGGTAGGAACAGATGTAGACCATTTGGCAAAGTTCAAGGTAATCAGTCAACCGTAAATTCAATGTGGAAGGAATATTTAACTAGTTTATTGGCGTTATTTTGAGCAATGTGCACTGTGGATAAAGTGGAACTGGTGGAAGTACTATCCTCAGATTTTCGAAGGCGTTTGCGAAAGTGGTATATCAAAGCTAATGGTGTTGGTGTAACATAGCGGCATGGATATTAAGACTGGACAGCTAACAGGAAATGATGGGCATAAATAGGTCATTTTCTGGTTGGAAGATGTAATGTGTGGCATACCATAGGGATCACTGCTGGGGCTTCAAGTTTTTACAATTTATGTAAATAAGCTGGATGAAGAAACCAAAAGTGTAGTTGCAAAATTTATTGCTGACAAAGTAAGGTACAAAAGTAGATTTGAAGAGACATAAGATGGATACAAAAGGATATAGATAGTTTAACTGAGTGGGCAAAATTCTGACAGATGGAGTATACTGTAAATCCCTGTTTGAAGTTGAATTAGTCAACATTCTTTTACTTCAGCGCCATTAAAATGGCGATCGTATATTTAAAATAGAGATAACAAGGTGTAGAGCTGGATGAACACAGCAGGCCGAGCAGGAAAGCTGACGTTTTGGGCCTAGACATTTCTTCAGAAGGTATATTTAAAGTTGTTTCAGTTTAACATTGTTTGCCACAGACTTCTTGTTTGGTGGCCTGCCTTATCTCTGACCTTTTCCCCATGTTTCCATTCCCGCACTCAATCCTCCTGACTTTACTTTGTTGCTGTCCCTACCCTCATTCTCTCATCACCACCCCCACCCTCTTGTTCTTAACCTCTCCATTGTCTGGTGTCAACTCATCTGGTGCCTCCCATTCTGAAATTGTCTGGGGTCCTGAGCTCCCCCTGGTGGCAGACGTTTGTTGATGTAAATTGTTTTGCCTGCAATGACCAGTGTCTGCCACTAGATGGAGGCTGGAAAACTGAAACTTTAGGTAAGTGTCATTTTAACATGTTCTGCATTTACAAAGTTTAAACTTGTGTTGTGATCTATTGTTTTAGAATTTATTTTCTTTTAGAATATATTTTATTTATTTATTAATCGAGACAATTAAGAATGCACATCATTTTAGCTTAATAATGTTTTAAAGCAACCACAAAGTTAGAGAAACTCAGTAGGTCTGGCAGCATCTGTGGCAAGAGAAACAAGAATATCAAAGTTTCAGATCTGGTGTGACTTTTCTTTAGAGTCTACAGCGAATAGCCTTTGTTTCCCAGATTTTACTTCATCTGCTCGTTCGTTGCCCAGTTGTTTTGATCAGTTTGTCTCTTCAGTTTGTACCAACCTAGTTTTGTACCGTCAGCAAATGTAAGTACAATACTCTTGGCCTCTTCATCTGTTATTATTATAAATTTGTAAATGCTGAGACCCATACACTGATCCTTACCAAGCTCCTAGTCACAACCTGCCAAAATGAATGCCCACTTTTGCCTACTCTTTGCTTCTTGTCTATTTACCAATTTTCTGTCCATGTAAACATATTAACCCCTACTTCCATGAAAGTTTATATTTTATATTAAACTTCTTGTGTGATACTTTTAAACAGGGCTTTTGGAAATCCAGTGTACTGCATTGTCTGGTTGCCCTTTATCTACCATACTTGTTAGCAATATCTAATAAATTTCTCACACAATGTTTCCTTTTTGCAAAATCAGGTTGATTTTGTCCACTCGTATTAAGTGCCTTGTTAAGACTTCGTAAAGAGATAACTGAGTAGATGTCATCCTCAAACTGAGGAACAGCCAACATTGAAGAGATTCTGCCATTTTCATGACATGTTTTTGCTCTCCTTCATTTAGTGAACAACAGTGTTACATTTGGTAACTTCCAGCCTGCTGGGGTGTGCTAGAATATGTGACATTAAGGAAAATCATAATCAGCACATATCTCTATTCAACTTCTTTTAGAATCTGAGGATGTAGACCATCAAGTGGTTGAGATTGGTCAGCTTTTAGTCCCTTGGTTTTGCTAATACTGTTTCTCTGCTGTTATTAAATGCTTTATGTTCTTAACTCTTATTTGCCCCTAGCTTATCCTCTATTCTGGAAAAGAATTTCTGTCTTCTACTGGAAAGACAGATGTAAAATACTTGGGCAATGTATCTGTCATTTCCTCATTCCCCATCAAAGTTTCTCCTCTCTCTGCCTCAAAGCAATCAATGTTTATTTTAGTTGCACTTTTTAAAAAAATACTTGTCATGTTGCAATCTCTTTTGATATTCATGGCTAGTTTATGCTCATTTTTCCCGCCTTTTTATCATGTGGTGGCCCCATTGCTAGTTCTTAAAACATTTCTAATTTTGAGGTTTACTATAAATTCTTCATCATAGTATTATAGGAAAAGGTTTCTATTGACTACTTCCATAGTAAATCATAGATAGATCTTTCTTGCTGATGATTTTTTTTTGTGCTGGGCTGTAGTTTTGCTGAATATTTTGAATGATTTCTTTGTATGTTTCCTAGTGTTTGTTTACTGCTGAACCTTATCGATTATTTATCCAGTTAACCATAGCCAGTTTTCAATTACACAAAAAGGAGTTCAAAATTCTTGTTTCGAACTGAAGTGCATCACTTTGAAATATAGAATGTAATTTACTTGCATAACCTCTTTCCCATGGAATCCCTACAGTGTGAAAACAGTCCATTCAGTCCAACAAATCCACACCAACTCTCTGAAGAGCACCCCACCCGGACTTATTCCCCTACCCTATCACTATAACCCTGCATTTCCCACGGCTAATCCATCTAATTTACACATCCTTGACACTATGGGCAATTTAACATGGCCAATCCACCTAACCTGCGCATCTTTGGGCTTTCTATGCTGAGGTCATGAATTAATCATGCCTCATAACACAATGGTAGATTTTAAAATTTCCATATTTTTCATTGGTTACATCATGTATTCTTTCATAAGGCTGCCAAAACTTTTTGAAACTTCCTCTTTCAGACTGCCTTTGCCAATTTGGTCCAATCTATATGAAGATTGATGTTCCCAATGATTATTACATCGCATTTGTTACAGGCTCCATTTATTTCTTTCATAGTGCTCTGTCCAATGATATAACTAGTGTCACAGGGTTATTAACTGCTCCCATCAGCATGTTCTGATCCTTGTTATTCCTAATCTCCATCCGTACAGATTCCGTAGCCAAGGTCCTTTCTTAATGCTGTCCTTATATCATCCTTTACTATCAGGGTTACTCCTGTTCCTTTGAGTTCTGTCTGTCTTATCAAAACTGTGGAAAATGTAGTTCCCAACCTTGATCACCTTGGAATCACATTTGTGTAATGATGATTAGATCTAAAGCATTTGTCTTTATCAATGTCATGAGTCAATTTATCTTGCACTGAACGCTTAATGGATTCAGACAAAGAGTGTTTCATTTTACTTTTTTGATATAGTTATTTGCATGGACCTATTTGCTGATGTAATATTACCATTAAACTCTGTCCATTCATGTCGCATTACTTGTCTTCGCCAATATTGCTACACTGTACTATTGTTTCAACTTTAGATTTCTAAATTTCTTTTCACCTAAACACCTCCCCAACTCCTTTTGTTTATTTTCAAGTCCTGTTGACAGCCCAATTTATATGACTACCTATGATCCCAGGCAGATTTAAGTACAGCCCATTCCCATGGATCAGCTCCTAAGTACTGGGGCCAGTGCCACAAGTGTCATAATCTCCTCTTGTGCACCAGTTTTTGAATCACACAAATTTTCTAATCGGTTTGAGATTATATCAGATAACAATCCAGAGATCATTACATTTGAGATTTGCATTTCAGTTTGTACCCTGATTTCTCTAAGTCTCTCAGCAGAACATTATTCCTAGTCTGAATTGTTGTTGTTGGTCCTATGTAGGCCAGAACAATTATCCTCCACATCCCTCTCCAAGTTCTTCTTCAGCCACAAGAAGATGTTCTTCATCCTGGAAATAGGCAGGCAACACACATTGTGGGACTCATGGTCATAACAGCATCAAACAGTATGTATCCCCGGACTGCACTGTTCCCTATCATTAGTACCATATTCCTTTCATTTCTCCTACCTGAATAGTTTCAGCACCATGGTACTATGGTCAAGTTGCTCATCCACCCCAGATTAGGTGTTGTTATGAAGTATCTTTTTTTCTATTGGTCAAAGTCAAGGGCTAATGTTCCTCCAATGCCCCATGCTGGATCCCCATCTGGTTGACTCACAGTCATGCCCTCCTACCCCTGATAACTATCCAATTCTGAAGTTCTACTGAACCTAGTGGTGTGACTGACTGGCAGAACTAAGTTTCCAGGTAACGGTGTTCCATGGTGCCTCCAGTGTCTGTAGTTTACACTCCAGTTTAACAGTCCAGACCTGAAGCTGCTCAAGCTGCAGACACTGGCTGCCTATGTGTTTGCCAACGATGGCAGTGCATTCCACAACCTCCCAATCTGCACATCGGCTGTTTTGTAATGGTGATTGAACCCCAATGATTTACTGGATTACTTTACTAAATTAGTAAATAGTTATCTTAACAGATAGAAGGTTAAAGTCTCTGAACGTGTAGCCAAACAGAGAGCATTCGGAGGTGAAGAAGTTTTAGTATAGAACATAGAAACATAGAACAGTACAGCACAGTACAGGCCCTTCGGCCCACGATTTTGTGCCACCTATTATCCTACTCGTAAGATCAACCTAACCTGCATACCCTTCATTTTACTATCATCCATGTGCCCATCCAAGAGTTGCTGAAATGTCCCTAATGTATCTGACTCCACTACCACTGCCGGCAGCGCATTCCACATGTCCACTACTCTCTGTGTAAAGAACCTACCTCTGACATCTCCTCTATGCCTTCCTCTAATCACCTTAAAATTATGCTGCCTTGTGATAATCATTTCTGCCCTGGGAAAAAGTCTCTAGCTATCCACTCTATCTATGTCTGTCATCATCCTGTACACCTCTAACTAGTCACCTTTCATCCTTCTTCGCTCCAATGAGAAAAGCCCTAGCTCACTCAACCTTTCCTCATAAGACCTGCCCTCCATTCCAGGCAGCATCCTGGTAAATCTCCTCTGCACCCTCTCTAAAGCTTCCACATCCTTCCTGTAATGAGGTGACCAGAACTGCGCACAATATTCCAAATGTGGTCTAACTAGGGTTTTACAGAGCTGCAGCATAACCTCGCGACACTTAAACTCGATTCCCTTGCCAATGAAAGCCAACATATGCTGCCTTAACAATCCTATCAACTTGGGTGGCAACTTTAGTGTGGTATATTTAGCAAATACAAGTCACCAAACTAAGCAATAGTCATCTTTGCTGAGTTTAAGATTAATCCATCATTGAGCCTGTAGAGACTACATTCATGGGTAATCTATCTCTCCACAAATGCATAAGGGATTTGTACTGAATGGTAGATTTTGGCTGTGCAGGTACCAAGCTTGTGCAGAACCTGTTTAACAATATAACACTTTTTTGTCATATAGCCATGTGGCATAGAAACATGCCCTTCAGCCCACAATATCTGGGATGACCAACAAACACCAATCTACAAAACAAAACAAAGAACTGTGGATGCTGGAGATCTGAAACAAAAGCAGAAACAGGTTTTCTGTTGAAGAGTCACTGAACTCAAAACATTTAACTCTGCTTTCTTCCCACAGATGCTGCCAGACCTGTGGAGTTTCGCCAGCAATTTGTTTTTATTTCTAACCATCAAATTGCGTTAATCCCATTTACCTGCACTTGGTCCATTGCCTGCCATGCCCTGGCATTTTAAATACTCTTCCAGATGCTTCTTAGATGTTGCAAGAGTACTTTGTTCCACCACCATCTCAGGCAGCACATTCCATATATCCACCACTTACTCCTAACCTTAAACCTATACTCTCTGATCTAAGACACGTGGTGGTTCAAAGCCTACCATTTGACAGCTGTGGTTTGTCAAGGGAACTTTTTAGTGACTTCTCATGTTTTCCATTCCTTCACCATTGCTGGTGGGTCTTCATGAAGAATGTTGCTGCATGTGGGTCACTAGTATTGAAGGCCGGTGATAGTTGGGTTGAACAGGTCACCTGGGGATAGTAAATGGGATGCTGTATGGATGGTTTCAGCAATGCTGGAGATAAAGCAAAATAATAAAAACATCTCCTTTTACTCATGGTATTAAATACCTGACTTAGTACTAGGACCTCAAAGCACTTTTTTCCCCCCCATATATATTGTTTTCCCGCTCTACACATTAGCAAACACTCTATTTTATAGAGAGCTTGTGATTCACATATCATTTAGAACTGCTAAGACAGTTTCTGACTACAATATTTAATATTTACTTATTCAAGTAACCACTTTCAATTGTTTGAAACTGCCTGGCAGTTGGAGTTAACTAGCTTGTAGATAACATAGTTTGGAGATGGAGGAACACAGCAGGCCAGGCAGCATCAGAAAAGCAGGCAAGTTGACGTTTCAGGTCAGGACCCTTATTCAGAAATGATTCTCTGAAGGAAGATCC